TTCCGGAATTTCAATCGAAATATTGCGAACAGGGGTCCTTTGGCAGGCTGCACGCCAAATCTCGGCATGCCGCCCTCCGAGCGCCTCGGCACAGAACCTGGCAAGCAAAATGTGTGAACAGTAACTTTACAGGTTGTCAATGCGACCGTCTTACTTGTAGAAGGAGCCTGCAACGCTTGGACGTGAAGGCGGATTCGAGACATAGTGATGTGGACTCCAGCTTCAGGTGCACAAACCCGCACTTCTAAACGTCCTGAGTCTGCACTCAACAACACAATGCCGTGAACACCGCGAGTCTCCGGCTTGGCATCTTTAATCTAGAACCTTCGACGCTTCCAATTTCCCTCTCTACAGGTCTGCTGGAAACAGGACAGCTGGCTTTTTCTGGTTTTATACTCGAAACACTCTTCCTGCACCCCAGGCCCCTGGGGCTCAGATTTTGGTTGCTTCGGCGCCGGGTTTGACATTCCGCTTAAGGCTTTCGTGGTCGTCGAAAGTCTGGCGTTTGGACTGTGGGGTTGAAGAGTTTGATGGCTCGGGTGTGCCTGGCATTCTTGACCACATCGCTGTGCAACGAGTTGCCTCCACACGAGGCGGGATCACTGCTTGAGATGATACTCACATGCTCAGGCTTAAATCTAGGCGACCTACGCAAGCGCGACCAAGTAGTAAACGAGGTTTCGAAGACAAATTAGTTCTCAGCAGACTAGACAGCTAACTACTCCATGCTCCCAAACCCCCCATCCCAGACCGAACCCTGAAGCCGATTAATTTCAATCATGCATTGACAGTCAAATGCTCCATCCGGAGAGAAAGCACCTCGAAGAGGGGCTAGTGCCGCGTGAGTCACCTCGAGGCCCGCGCACCTGAGCACCGAAGACCGGAAGGAGCCAAACCAAAAGAGAGATTCGGAGCCACAGGCTTTTCAGGGCGCCATTAAGTTTGACGAACCCCAAACCCCTCGAAGAAGCCTAAGCCTGAGATCCGAAACCTTGCCAACAGCGGTTCCTTCCTGGCTGACAGCCTCTGCAGTGAAAGCCCAGGGACAAGGCCCGCGGGTCCTCTGTGTGCAGGGCCGAGGCCAGCTGTGCCAGAAGCGTGGGCCATCGCTCTGGAAAGTCCGTAAGCGACAGCTCCTGGGAGGCTTGGGCCTCTTTGGGATCACCTTACTTAAGAGCGACGGTGTTCACAGGTTCACGCCCTCGCTTTCAGAAGCGAATTTGCAGAACTGCGCTGCAAGTACCCGGACCTTCAACTTCGTAAGTCAACGACCGCCTGAAGACCTGAAGGCATGCAGGTGGTCCCAGTCTCGACACGCGCGACCCACCGTCAAGACCCTCTGGCACAGACAAGACCTCGAAGCGATGAAGCCCCCAAGCCGAACTATTAAGAAACCAGCGTGCCTCCACACCCGCGCAGAGAGACGCTCGCGCGCCGTGCGGCGCCAACACGGCGGCCGGGACCAGAGCCTCTCGGAGAGCCTGGCAACAAAAATCTTGATCAGATCGAAGTAGCAGCTATAGAGTTGAGAGCATGTTGAAGCCATGAGCTCATGCAGCTTCTCACTCGAATTCGGGGCTCGCGGTATGAACATCCAAGCTCTAGCTGCTTTCTGCCACATTCAGAGCTCCAAAAACACTACGTATGGCTTTGCAATAGGTCCCTACTGACCTCAACCCTAGAAGTTCACTCGGTGAGCCCCAATAATGACGTATCCTCAAGGCAGTTCGGCGGCTAACTACCATCCACTAGATATTGGATTGGGGAAGTTGCAAACCCCGCTTTTTCATACTCGACGAAGACGTTCGACATGTCCGCTCCTGAGAAGGCTCCCATCAAGAAGTGCTTGGAAGGACTATGACAGAGTTGGAACACATTTCGCGCAGAGCATCTTCTACACCCTAGCAACGGAAATGGAAGACAAAGCGGGCAAGCATCCCTGGTATACCTTGCCCGGCCTGTACCGTAAGCCGTTTTGGCTTCTGGTGCAGGTTTCAACTGAGCCCCTACAGTAACCATCGAGGATGACGTCGCGCCCTTTGGATTGGAGCAGCTTCTCGAAGAACTCTGTTCGGAATGCATAATATATTAACATATGCCATTCTAGACCTGACTGGGAAACGTTGGGAACCCCCCACCTCTCGCTCAGCAACCGGGAGTCCCCCGGTGACGAGCCAGCGGCGCTTGAGGAAGTTTTTGAAGTAAATGGCGGCTGCCTTGGTGGCATCACACTGCGCTTGACTTTTGAGGCTTTGCGATGTAAAGCCTTGTAATGCTTAGGTGTAGAGGTTTCTCAGCACAGTTTTGGGTAGATTTCCCCTTCCGAGGCTTTGACTTGACGTTGCACCTCGATCAAACCACAAAGCTTCTCGCAAGAGTGTGCGGTCGCATAGGGTAGAAGATGTAAGTAAGCATTCAGGACATCGGCTTTGGGTTAAAGGATTTCGGCCTCAAGGGCTCACGAGCAACCTCTCTGACCTGGTGTGAGTCAACTATTCAT